AGAGGGGGGGGAGGGTCCGTTTGTACAGGAGATAGTTGATAGTCTTGGACATGTGCCGTTAAAGCAGTTTTGACTTTATCATAATAGGCTTATTGTTTGCCATAAGGAGTCCAGCCTGGTCAACGATCACTATTCGCCCAGGCCATAGTGACATATTATCTCTCTTAGAAGGAGTTTTGACTTTAGACTAACCGCACGACTTATTCTGGGTCATTGAGTAAACGATAGACGACCTGTTGGGACTATTGACCATCCTGTTGTCCACCATTTCCCAGAATAGATGACCTACTTTCCGACCCGGGGGATACAAACGTATGACGTAACAGGTCATTTCACCGTATACGCTAGCAGGTCGTCCCAGTGTTGCTTGTTATATAAGTCGCTCTGTCCAGCTCGACCCAGTGATGTCTGTTACATAATATAATCCAATCACATAATCCCGTCTGTCACACGATCGCCCAAATCCAAAGTTTTCAAGCTGTGTTTATCGCGTTTGTCAACCCATACCACTTTACCCTGGTGGTTGTGATGTGAAGGCTAGGTAGGGCCCACCATACGCTCTTTGTCGTTGCCCGTACAATACGAGAGTTCAGTTCCCAAACGAGTTAGATCTGATTATTCTATTTTAACATTTTTCTGTGTTTTGTGTAATTTACTTTTTTAATGACCATTGAAAAGCGGACCAATCCGTCCACACAATTTATACAAAGTTCTATAAGTCAATAATTTTAATGACGGCAGCTTCGGCCATCCGTATAATGTCTTTTCTTGGATTAATGTAATCCTAGGAGTGAGATATCAGTGATGTTAATTTGTTTGACATTGCTTTAAAATAGTACAATAAGGCCTATTACGTTTTGCAGTTATCGTACAACTTAAAACATCCATCTTGTGCGTTATGAATTGTACCCAAAGGTTTCTCCTTTGTAATTTTGCTTGTGAAAAAGAAATGTTTAAAAATTACAAGCAGGAGTTTCTGAAAGTTTATCAAATTGGAATAACTTTGTAAACAACTTCAAATATTTATTAATGAAAGTTGTCGCTAGAAAACAGGGTAGGAAAATACAGCTAGGGGAGCCCGCTATAACCGAAGTCTGCGATACCGCTGGATCTTTTTTCAGTTCAGCCGGGTTTTCTATTTCGAAAGAGAAGAAAGTGGCGGGGATTTTTTTTTTTCGTTTAATCGCTGTTTTCACATTAACCGTGTCCCATTTTAATGGACTCCACTGTACGATGGTGTCACCAAAGATTCTCTGCTAGCATAAATAACTGATTAGGCGTCATAAATAATTGATAAGGCAATGATAGGCCTATACAGTAATATCTGAAAACAACGAAATCTGAGGTGGCCTACTGCCGGGATTCTCGGGTTTAGTCAGGTTTTCGGTTTAGAAAGGTTGCTCAAATAGAAAAATTAAAACAAAACAAAACAAACAAACAAACAAGCAAAAAAAACCCAACAAAACAAAACAACAAATCAGGGATTTAATCTATCATTTTTTTTTACATTTCGGTTTATTGCGTAATAAACCTTGTTCGGATTAAGAGGACTCCTTTGTACATAGGTTTATCTCCACTTTTTAAAAATGTTGGCTGTTTTGTTAAGTCATGATTACATTGGATATTGTACTTGATAATATAATGTGCCTTTCTGTACTAAGTGCTACGACCTAGAAGAATGGCAAGTCGCGTGACTTGCATAGAAAAGGGAAAGGTTTTATTCCAGGCTATGTTGGGACTAGCTATGAGTGTGTGTCTGAAGGTCTGTGTGTGTGTGTGTGTGTGTGTGTGTGTGTGTG